CTCATCTCCTTTCGTAGTTGTTTATGCAACAACCGGTTTTGCAAGTAGAGAAATTGCAAATCGCTAACGTCAAGAGGTGCCGGCTTTTTCGAAGCTGGAGTTGGCGTCGTAGCTTCCGGATAAAAATCATCATTTCCGCCCAAGTTCGTTCCACTCGTTCCCGCCGGATTGGTTGGATTCGTCGCAGGTGCCTTGCCCTTTCCTTTGCCTCCTCCCGGTGCTGATCCCGATCCCTTTCCCGGTTTCGCTGCCGGTGCTGGTCCTGGTCTGCCTCCTCTGTTTGTTCCTATATTCGGGATATCGAGATTCTCGCTGGCTTGCAGCAACCTTTGAAGCATTCTAACAATGTTGCCCATGCTGACATTGCCCAATCAGCACTCGTCTTGCCCCCGAGGTCGAGGCAATGTACCACTACCAACTGAGTCACTGGGGTCCGGCAACTCGACACACGCACACACAACATGTAGTCCGAAGGCCAGTTTGCTGTACTGCCCAATTTGAGCCGGTTCTCGCGGGTCATCTCCTCCTTCCTCAGCCTCGAACGGTCCAACGAGGCTGACCGATGTCCAACAAAGCCGGTCACTTGTCACCAATTTGGTTGGCTCTTCTCTGCTCGTCAGTCTCGCATGTGTGTGTTTGTGTGTGAGAGAGAGTACATGTCAAGGAAGGGGGGCAGCCAGGCGACCAGAATGGCAGACACTCGGACAAGGCGCATGTCGCAGTAACCGGTAGGGCGGGTGGGAGGTGGCACGACAGCCGACGCAGGAGCCACGGGTGCAGCGGAGACGACTGGTACCGAAGACACTCGTTTCGCCAAGTCCGTGGCTCTCGATCAAGACCACAACCGAGCTGATCTGCTGTCTGTGCACGTCGCCATGTCTTCGGACACGCGGACTCGCCCAGACCTGCAGTCTCGTCCAATCGTTTAGGAGATGGACACAAGCACACAAAAGTACACACACACACTCACACACACACACACTCACACACACACACACTCACACACACACACACACACACATACATTCCTCCCTGAGTCGCGATTGGAACAGTGCAATCGAGTCACGGTTGCTTATCGACTCACCACAACTACAGGTCACGTTAGTTGACATTTGATGCACAACCGTGTCGAGATGATCCGTACCAGTTGTCCAAGAACTGGAGTCACCTTCAATAGCATCAAGTACTTCAAGGGTGAATGGTAGAATTCCACGCACTCAATTAGGTAGGGCTCTCGATGACTATATATATATATATATATATATATACATGTATATCTGTCTATCTATCTAACTGTCTGTCGATCTTTCTACCTATCTATTTAT